TCTTAGTATTAACTCCCCTTTTCTGAAGAACATCGACCATCTATTTGTCTTATTGCGTCAAAAACGGCGAGGCTTTACGTAGCAGACTAGTGAATGTGAGCTTCCGTCCAGTGTCCTAAAACCTAGGGTGCATGCTGTCTTTTCGCCAAGCCTGCTGATGTAGGAGCTTCTTACCGGTGAGGCCGTGCCTGCGAGCGACTTAGCTGAGGAGCTTGACGGAGCTTGACGGAGTTCGACTGAGCTTGACTGAGCTTGACGGAGTTCGACTGAGCTCGACTGAGCTCGACTGAGCTTGACGGAGCTCGACTGAGCTTGACCTGAGCTTGGTCTGAGCTTGTCGGCGCTTGACCGATAGAACTCACCTGCTTCACGAGTCTGCCCACTGAGCTTAGCTTCTTGCTCACGAAGCCGTGGCGGGTTGCTTTGAGATGGGACATAATGTGCGTAGCAGTCTTTGGAGCTATGTAATTGTTTCGGGATTTCGTTTAGGACAGCCTAGGATGGATCAGCAACCTGTGCTATGGCGCGAAAAAATGCTGCAGATCGAATCTAGAGCTGCAAAAGACGGAACAAGGGGGGGGGGTACAACCGGTGTGAACGAGCTGCGAAATAGCCCAAAATGGAGCGCAATCGTGGTGCGAATCCAGCGGCAAAGCCAAAAAGGACTGTTGTGTAGTCTAAACCCAAACAGGCATTACTGCATTAGGGAATTTCTTCTCTTACGGTAACACCGTCCTGATTGGGCAAGCCCTTATCTGCTGCGCCATTGTCTATTAGTGGCTCTCGAACATAACCAAGACAGGGATCTCAGCATCCATTTTTATACATAGCCCGCTTGAGAGAATCAGCAACAAGTTTCTCATCAGAATAATGCTTTTAGCGTTTGAACGCCGGTTTCTAACTAGCATATTCATGTTCAATGCTCAATGCTCAAGCTCATGATCGGTGGCAATTTTGTGCTGTCTTTACGTGGTAATAAAGAGTTGTCCTCGCCAGTATTTCCGATGAGGACCACCATCTTGCATCAGCAGCTCGACATAACTCTTACATACCGTGCACCATGAACGAAGATCGAACGCGGCCGTCGCGTAGCAGGTGAACGATATTGTCAAACGACAAGGTGAGTGTCTCCCAGTCACAAAATCCTCCCTAATTGGGGCATACTGAGCTGCTGCCGGATGAAAAGCCCTGAGGAGAAAAGATGGACACCAACAAGGAGAGAATTGACACGAATCCAGGCAGGCCTACTGATGTGGATCCATTGTTCACTGACAACTCAAGACTTCGAAGTCGACACAGCCTCGTTGATCAAACACCTCCAGACGGCAGGTGAAGATGCACCCTCAGCTCTCCTGGCTTATCTCAAGCGCCTACGAACATTCTCCTTGTATTCATCACAGAGATAGATCAAGGGTATGGGGAGAAGTTGCGAGAACACAATTTCGCAAATATTGCCATTTGGACCCAGTACCGAACCACAAAGCAGACATCCTACCACGACGCTTCGAGCGATTGCTCCACCGCGCCCTTGGGTTGTGCAGGGAAATGATGTCTTTCGGCAGCCACACCTCGAGCCATCTTCGAATTGTTTCCAGCTCAACACCGGAAAAGAGGCGTCAAGGTAGACCTTAGTCTTCAGTGGTATTCCACGAGGTCACACGCAGAACTTTGCGGCTTCATGCCGGGGGTACTTCATCGATAAGATCACAAAGACAGTGAGATTACCTGGCCTACACTTGCCCCAGAACAGCCAGATGTCTTCGTTCAGGATTCGCGAATCTGCCACCGTCGGATCAA